GGACTAATATATAAAAAGAAGATACCTCAATCAACGAAGTCATCTTATAAAAGAGATAGCAACAAAAACAAAACATTACGCAACACCATAATCTCAATGCAACACAGAATAAAACAACATCAACAATATAACATCACTATGATACAAAACTGTGATATGGATCTTCCTTTTCTCCCCCAAACCAGTTTATTAATGCTGACCGTCTTAGCGCGGCACTTTCACCCCCTTCCTTTCGACTTGGGCTTCATAGCAACACGGGGATGTCGACACTTGTTTTCGGCGACCAGTGTAGGTGTCTTGGCCTCAATTCTTTGTGTTTAGGTAATCCTCGACTGTGGGTGTTTGGGCCTCACTCCTCTGCCTTCAAGTAATCCTCGACTGTGGGTGTTTTGGCCTCAATTCCTCTGTAATCCTCGACTGTGGGTGTTTTGGCCTCAATTCTTTGTCTTTAGGTAACCCTCGACTGTGGGTGTTTGGGCCTCACTCTTCTGACTTCAAGTAATCCTCGACTGTGGGTTTCTTGGCCTCAATTCTTTGTCTTTAGGTAATCCTCGACTGTAGGTGCATTGGCCTCAATTCTTTGTCTTTAGGTAATCCTCGACTGTGGGTGCATTGGCCTCAATTCTTTGTCTTTAGGTAATCCTCGACTGTGGGTGTCTTGGCCTCAATTCGTTCTCTTTAGTTGATCCTCGAGCAAGTCTGGTCCGACCGCGGAGAAATTCCCCAATGCAAACCACTCCATCTCTCGGAGTATTTGCATGCTAAAATATGCTCGTTTTATGAGTGTGCTAAAAGGCAGCTCCTCTTTAGGACGGACGATTCTCGCTCCCGCTCTGGTTGAACGCAAACCTTTAATGACAAGTAGAATGTAAACAATTAACCATGGTTGGTTGAGTTGTTCAAGACCACGCTCTTCCTCGTCATAGTTCACCGTTCAGTAAATACTTTTAGTCCAAAGGCAAAACAGAGGAGAGAGAGAGAGGAGAGAGAGAGAGAGAGAGAGAGAGAGAGAGAGAGAGAGAGAAAGAAAGAGAGAGAGAGAGAAAGAAAGAAAGAGAAAACCTTTCCTCCAAACCATGTCCGAAAACTCGCCCCAACTGCTCTTATGGTGTCCCCAGGAAGCCCATACAAGTCCACCGACCACGTGACTTGCCTAATGAGCTCCTTCCCTCATTGAACATCCCTAGGAACACGTTCCATCTCGCCCGGCCGTTCACCAGGCCATCCTTTCACCGGGAACTTGTCTGGGGTCTGTGGGCTAATTCTTTATCACTTCGTCTCCAATCAACTGGTGAACGGAGGCCAATGCCGTACGTCTGTGTGAGGTTGTGTTGGTTAATGCTTTTTTTGGCTTGAGTTGATTTTGCCAGGTGGTAGAGAGAGAGAGTGAGAGTGAGAGATAGGAGAGAGGGAGAGAGGAGGAGGGAGGGGGAGGGAGAGAGAGGGATAGGGAGGAGGGGAGGGAGGGGAGAGAGAGAAGAGAGGGAAAGGGAGGAGGAGGGGGAGAGGGAGGGGGAGAGGGAGAGGGAAAGAGAGAGAGAGAGAGAGAGATAACACGTACATATAGACAGATGATTTCATTACTCAATCGTCTCCATAAAACAATGCCAAAATACCTATACTCATAGAAAAATATAAATATCTAATACGTACCTAAAATAAAAATAAAAACAAACACCAACAACCCTATTTATTCTCGCCCGCCCCTCGCCCCCCCCCCCCCAAAAAAAAAAAAGAAAATGCCGAACCACACGACCTCCATAAAGTGAGCTTTATGCAACGGCCGCTTGACAGTTGGATTTGCTTGACGTCTGTGACTGATAGGTCCGTATGACATGTCTGTGTGTGATGGATGCATGACTTGCCTGAATGTCAAAGCTAAGCCTGGTCCACGGTCTGGTCTGGTCTGGGACTTTCACTGCCGCAATTAGGTCTGTGTGTGATTGCGTGTGTGTTTTTCTGTTATTGTGTGCCTATACCTGTTTTTTTTTTTTTCTACGTATTGTACAGAGGAGAGGAGAGAGAGAGGGAGGGATGGAGAGAGGGTGGGAGGAGGGAAGGAGAGAGGGAGGAAGGGAGAGGAGGAAGGAGAGAGGGAGGAGGAGGAGAGGGAGGGAGGGAAGGAGAGAGAGAGGGAGGGAAGGAGAAAGGGACGGAGAAAGGGAGAGAGAGAGAAAAAGGAAAAGAAAAAAGAGGAGTACTTACCGTTGATAGGTATGTAAGGAGTAATATTGTCATTCCTATCATTACGTATGTTAATTGTGATACTTTATATAACTGCATGATAACAGAGCCGATCTGACATGTACTTATGATAAGATCGTCATTGTTTATGTATCCGCGTGGCTCTTGAAGAGAAGGGGAACATCTTATTAATCTGAAGATGGAGTAACGTGTTGGAGGCGTAAAGTATCTTTTTTTTCTTCTTTACTTCCTGACTTGTGCAAGAATTTCCCTCAGGTATATTTCGCAGAATAAAAGTTCTTTGTTCTTAGTGTTTCTTGTCCGTCTGTTACACATTAGCAAACGTTGTTGTCTCTGAGTAATAAGACACTCCAGTAAAGCGAAAATAATCCACTATTTTCCTAATCTTTCGTAAATCTATATTTCCCCAAAGTATGATATGTATTGAACATTATATATATATTTTCGTATATTTCCCATATCAACATTATAATATTCATTTTCCCAATGATATATATTGAACATTATATATTAGTTCTCGTATTTTCCCAGATATATATATATTCTCGTATATTTTCCCAAAGAATGATATATATTGAACATTATATATTAGTTTCTCGTATATTTTCCCAAAGAATATATATTGCGTATATTTTCCCAAAGAATGATATATATTGAACATCATATATATATATTCTCGTATATTTTCCCAAAGAATGATATATATTGAACATTATATTCTCGTATTTCCCCATATATTGTATTCTCGTATATTTCCCATATATATGAACATTATATATACGTTCTTGTATATTTTTTCCAAAGAATGATATATATATTGAACATTATATATAATTCTCGTTTATTTTCACGAAGAATGATATATATTATATATATATATATATATTCTCGTATATTTTTCCCAAAGAATGATATATATGAACATTATATATATTCTTCGTATACCTAAAGTATGATATATATTGAACATTCTATATACGTTCTTGTATATTTTCCCAAAGAATGTATATATTGTAAATTCTGTATATATTTCCCAAAGTATGATTTTCTTGTATATTTCCCAAAGAATGATATATATATTGAACATTATATATAAATTCTCGTATATTTTCCCAAAGAATGATATATATTGAACATCATATATATATATTCTCGTATATTTTCCCAAAGTATGATATGATATATATTGAACATTCTATATACGTTCTTGTATATTTTCCCAAAGAATGATATATATTGAACATTATATATAAATTCTCGTATATTTTCCCAAAGAATTATATATATTGAAAAAAATACATATATAGAGTTCTCGAATGGCACACACCAGAACCCAACACCACCTCACAACAACGTAAAAGTAGTTCTTAAAAAAAGAGAAGGAAAAAAAGTGGACCCACATCGACCACCGGCCAGTCAGCAGTAGTAGTAGATAAGTAGATCCCGTACCGCTTCTTCTACCATCTACCTCGACGAGTAGATGAGGTGAAAGGGTGCACTTTCTACGAGCTGTGGAAGGTAATTACCCCGGGCCAGAGAGGGTTATTTGTTGGGTATGTTAATCAGCCTGCCTTAATTAGGTATTGTTTTAACCCTGCCTACCTTTCGGCTCCGGAGTCGATCGAGACTAATTACTTGCTAATGATGGGGATGATTATAGTAATTACGAGCGGTTTGGAGGCGGTTGATTCTGTTATACTTTACGAAAGATGTCACTTCTTCTTCCGGTGTGGTAAATGTTGGGAAAGGTCTGAGGCAAGCATGATGAATCTCTCTCTCTCTCTCTCTCTCTTTCTCGTCTCTGTCTCTCTCTCTCTCCTCTTTCTCTTTCTGTCTGTCTGTCTGTCTGTCTGTTTGTCTGTCTGTCTGTCTCTCTGTCTCTCTTTCTCTGTCTCTCTATCTGTCTGTCTCTTATCTGTCTCTCTCTCCCTGTGTGTGTGTGTCTCTCTCTCTTTCTTTGTCTCTCTCTCTCTCTCATTCTCTCTTCCTCTCTCTCTCTCTTTCATATTGAAAAGAAAATGACATCGCAACGTTATGTTATTATATTTTATAGGATTTTTTTTTCTCTCTTTTTTGCGCTAGTATGTCTTAATTTTAGTCAAGAATACGTATGATATACAAGACAATAAACCCAACCAAAAATGAAGATTCACAATAAAAGAATACAAACAAACAAAAACAACATCCACATTCCCTTTTTTTGTCAAAGTTAATTCTTCAGCGGTTTGCAACACCAAAGACTCCATCTCTCCCAACAAGACCAAACGAAGTCGTCTCACTGCATACGAGTCTTTTCCCTCCCGGCTTTTCACTCGCTCGTTGCATTGCGAAAGGAGCCGTGACGAAGCCTGGTTGCACTCGGCTCTGACCGCGAGAAACCCTGCCACGAGAGGGCCGAGGAGGAGGAGGCGAGGAAATCATTTTTTTTTTTTTTTTTTACGAGTCGTGGGTCTGATAAGGAGGAGCGTTTTCTATAAGTACGTGTGTTTGGGTGGGTGGTGTGGGGGTGTGTGGTGTTTGTGTGTGGTTTTATTTTTGTGTGTTTATGTGTGTGTGTTTTATGTGTGTGTGTGTGTGTGCGTGTGTGTTTACCTGTACTTGTATGAAAACCTCTTATTTCGCTTCTCGTGTTATTTTCGCGTTTGTATTTATCAACTTTCACTTATTTCCCTTCCCTTCTTTCTCTCTCTCTTCGCATCACCCCCCCCAAAAAAAAAAAAAAAAAAAAAAAAAAAAAAACGAAATCTTGGAACTCTACAACCCATTTATTTACCTTTCTTCTCTCTCTCCTTCAGGAACTCCGCGACGCCTTCGAAGACGAAGGATCCAAGGTCAAGAAAGGCAAGCTCCTCCTCACCATGGCCGTCCCAGCGGGTCAGAACTACATCGATAAAGGTTACGACGTTCCTTCTCTCTCCAGGTGAGTCGAGGTCAAGGAAGGTCAATTTTTTTTTTTTTTTTTTTTTTTTTTAGGGAAGGGGCGAGGATGGGAGAAGGGAAGGAGGGAGGATGATGATGGAGGGGGGAGGGTAAAGGGAAGGGAAGAAGGGTGGGGGAAAGAAGGGCGGTAAAGGGGGCATGGGAAAATAGGGAGGGAAGAGAAGGAGTAGGAAAGGAGAAGGAAAGAAAGAAAAGAAGGGGGAAAGGGAGTTAAAAAGGAAGGGGTAAGAGACATGAGAGGAAGAAGAGCTGGAAAGGGAGGAAGGGAAGAGGAGAGGAAAACTAAGAGACAGAAGGACGACTACTAATGGAAGGGAAGATGAAAAGGAAAGAAAGGTAGAAGAGGAGGAAGACAAAAATGCAATAAAGAGAAGTTAGAAGGAAAAAGGGAAAACGGGAAAAGAATGACCAAGATCGAGAAAAAAGTAAAAACGAAGAAAGATGTGAAAGCCATAGAATACGAACTACAGCAGAAGAAGAACAATAATCAGAGAGAAGAAGAGAAAGAAAGAAAAAATAACAAAACAAAAAATTGAAAATATCGTATCCAAAACCCCCACCGTATTTCCGTGTTGCAAAGCCAAGAACAGTTCAAAACATCTGACTCTTAACAAGGAACAAATGACAATAAACAAGCAGTGACGGACCCATTAACCATATCTCAGAATCTATTACACATTTCAGAAGCCGTTTCAACAATAGCAGCTCATTTTTCATAGAGATAACGGACCGGCTATTAAATAGAGACAAAGAATAAAAATGACAGTGATTCCAAAACTTGTCATACTTGTAACATGACATGAAATATATTAGTATCGTCTTATGCCTCGTCATAAGAGTGACTCGCAGCTACAAATGATCAGGCAGATGTCATAAAGGTTCAGGATGACGTATATCTATATATATATGTATTTCGAAAAATATTTGCAAAATACAGTTTGATTTCACAGGAACTTGGCTGATAATTGTATGGATTATGTTTATATTTATATATATGTTTATATATTATATATAAATTGCAGAGACTGTGCTGATAATTAATTGTATAAATTGCTTTTGGTTTTACTTATGATAGTAATAATGATTATATTTGTTAATTGTCATACAAGAGCATCAATATTTTGAAATATTCATTTTTAGAGGATTTAGAAGAGTAAAAGGTGTATTTAATGCACACACATGTTGATAGATGGATAGATAAATAGATAGATAAATTATAAATATTGAGTTAATTCAGTGTAAATATACGGGATTTACACGCCACACTTCACAAAAGTACGATACGTTGGGAAAGAGCAGAACACAGAGAAAATTTAAGTCTCTCACGATAATTGATTAAAAAAACAGAAGAAAATTGACGTTCAAGGTAAAATTGCGGATTTCCCTTCATGCAACAATTGCCATATCAAAGTCTTTTCTCTTTTATACAACCTCGTCCCATCCATAACAACTTTTTATTCTCATTTACAACGTAACAACCCCCTTCAGTAGTTTATAACAACCTCTTTCCTCATAACAATAGTTTAGAGCAAGTTCTCATCCTTAACAACTTCCTTCCCCTCCTGAAGAACACAACGATCTTTTTCAATACTTAAGAACAAGGTGTGACAACGGTACAGTGACCGTGGGCGGGGCAGATTTATGGTGAAACTTGCAAGAACGTGGCTTCATTATTTTTCTTCTTTGTCTATTCTCTGACCACACGCCATCTTCCTCCTACTCTCTCCCCCTCTTTTTCTTCTTCCTCGACCTCCCTCCCTCCAGTTTTCCTATTCTTATTCTTATTCCCCCATCTACCATCTCTCCCTCTTCCCCTCCCCCTTCATTCCCTCCTCTCCCTCCCCTATGACCTTCCACCCTCTCTCCTTCCTTTCCTCCCACACGCCCTCCCTCCCTCCCCCCCTTCCCACCCACCCTCTTTTCCTCCCTTCTCTCACTCTCTCTCCTTCCTTCCCTCCCACACGTCTCTCTCCCTCTCCCTCCCACCCACCCTCTCCTTCCTCCTCCTCCCGCCCTCCCTCTTTCCTACCTTCCCCACCACCTTCTCTCCTTCCTTCCCTCCCACACGTCTCTCTCCCTCCCACCCACCCTCTCTCTTTCCTCCTCCTCCCGCCCTCCCTCTTTCCCTCTTTCCCACCTTCCCCCCCACCCTCTCTCCTTCCTTCCCTCCCACACGCCCTCTCTCCACCCTCTCTCCCTCTCACCTCCCACCCACACTCTCTCCTCCCTTCACCCCCTCCTTCCACCACCCACCCGCCTTCGGAGACCTCCCCCACCTCCCCCCTCCCCACCCACTCGCCCGCAATGGTCACAATCTCTTCCCAAAAGCAACGGTGACGCTGGACTTGGCTGGAAGGCTGTTTTTAGCTTGAGGGAGTCCGGGCGGGTATCGACAGCTCGGTCTCTTGGAGGGAGGGGGTGCGGGGGGGGGGAGAAGTGGATATGTTTGTGGAGTGGGGGAGGGGGAGAAATGGATATAAAGTTCTGTGGAGTTGGGGAGGAGGGGGGGAGAGGTGGATATGAAGTTCTGTGGAGAGGGGGGGGAGAGGGGGGGAGATGGAATGAAGTTCTGTGGAGTGGAAGGGGGAGTGGATATGAAGTTCTGTGGAGTGTGGGGGGGGGTGGATATGAAGTTCCTATGGGTTCTGTGGAGGGGGGGAGAAGTGGATACGAAGTTCTGTGGAGTGTGGGGGGGGAGGGGGGTGGATATGAAGTTCTGTGGACTGGGGGTGAGAAGTGGATATGAAGTTCAGAGGGGGGGAGTGGATATGAAGTTTACATATTGTGATGATTTGGATAGAGAGAAGAGGAGGAGAGGGAGGAGAATGGAGGGAGGGAGAAAGAGGCAGGAGGTGGGAAAGGAGGAATAAGAGGGAGGAAAAAAGGAATGGAAAGGAGGGAGAAGGAGAAGGAATAGAGAAGGGAAAAAAGGAAGGAGGGAGAAAGAATTAAGGAAAAGGGTAAACAGAGGAAGAGAGGGAATGAAAAAAAAAGAAAGGAGAGAGAGAGACAAGACTCAAAGAGACGAAGACTATCTAGAACGCAAGCAAATGGCGTGTTCTCAAGCAGGCAAGCAAGCAAGCAGTCTTTCTCTCACGAAGTGCAAAGAGAGAGTGTGTGGCCGACCTGCTCCTCCTCGCCAGAAACGTGACGTAGCAGGCATGGAGATGCTTTTCACGGAGTTAAAATCCCTTTTGTTTCTAGGAATATATTACCTATATGCGTCTTTTTTCTTTATTTTATATTATTTATTTATCTACTTATTTATCTATTTATTTATTATTAGTGTTATTATTATTGTTATTGTTATAAAAAATAATCAACAAATCAACTAACCGTTAACTCCCCGCATTGCAGAGACCTGGACTTCATCAACATTCTCAACTACGACTACCACAGCGCCTACGAGCCTACCATTAACCACCACGCCGCCCTCCTCCCCGCCCCTGGCACCTCCGAGTACGAGTGGAACGCCCAGCTGAATGTGGTAAGTGGATGAGGTTGTTTTAGTGGTTGTGAAGTTGTTTGTGAGTGTTGTTTGTGTGGTTGGTGTTGTTATGGTTGTAGTGGTATTCTTGCGAGTTTCTTGTGTTTGTGTGGATGTTATTGTTGTTAAATAATATTCGATTTTCTTAGTGTGGTTTCCCCTTTAATTTCTTACTAAAGAAAACGTACCTCTGACGAAATAACATAACGAACCTCATTTTTTTTTTATCCCTCCATTATTCTTAACATTTCTTTCTCCATCAGGACTGGACTGTGAATTACTACATCTCCCTCGGCGCAGAGAGACAGAAGCTGGTCATCGGCATCCCGACATACGGCCGATCATACACGCTTCTCGATGGGAACTTCACCGATTTCGGGGCATCAGCTGACGGTCCGGGCGAGCAAGGGAAATACACCAAAGAAAACGGGTTCATGGCTTTCTACGAGGTGTGTTTTGAGGGGTGACTTTAGTGTTGTTGTTTTTATGATCAATATTATTAGTGTTATGATTACTGCTGTTGTTGGTGTTGTTATCATTAACAGCAGCAGTAGGAGAAGTAGTAGGCCTACTAATGTATCTTGTTATGATGGTTATTATTATCATTACTGTTGTTGATATTATTAGTCGTAACAACACAGGTAGTGGTGCTAATAAGCTGTAATCCAGATTTTCACCCTCCCAAAAAGAAGAAATCGGGTTTAATTAACGGCAAATAAGTCATTCATTCCACTTCCTGGCCTACGTCACTTCTCCTCGTGCTACATATCATAGCGATATTAACGCTACTTATTTACCAAATACTAATACGGCCGATTAATCAACAGGTTTGCGAAAATATTGCCTCAAATGGATGGGAAGTGAGGAAACCTTACCCTCGTCGCATCGGTCCCTATGCCTTCAGTGGTGACCAGTGGGTTGGCTACGATGATGAGAAGATTGTTGCCAGAAAGGTGAGATTTTAGTTGTTTTTTCGTTGTATTTGTTACATTATAACTTTTATGAGAGAGGAGTTTCTCTTGTAGCAAGACTTGGCTCCTTAATAGGAAGTTGAATTCCCTAAAAATCTTGCCAATAAAAATACTATATACGAAATAATTTACACACAAATATAGGCACATATATAATATATATATAAATAATTCTTCCCTCGCATTCTTCCTACAGATCAAACTTTTTAGATAAATTTTCCAATTTTCTATCTCTTCACTTCCCATGAGTTTCCCAATTTTTTTTATACAGTTGTCTCTTGTTTATACATTTCCCCATTTTTCTCTCTGTAGGCGTTTCTCCATTGCAAATATTCTTCCCATTTTCTCGACACATAAAATTATCAATATATTTCCCCATTTTGTTTTAGCAGGCGTTTCCCCATTTTCTATGAATTTCCATAATTTCTATGAATTTATAAATTTTCTATGAATTTCCCCATTTTCTATTAACTTCCCCATTTTCTATGAATTTCCCCGTTTTCTCTTTCTCAGGCGGAGTACGTGCGCGAACAGGACCTCGGTGGCATCATGTTCTGGAGTCTCGACAACGACGACTTCCGAGGCATTTGCAACGGCGAGCAGTACCCGCTCGTCGAGGCAGGCAAGAAGGCGCTCTTCGGGGCCGACGACACCAAGAGCAACGAAGCCAGAAGACTCGAAGCGACGCCAAGGTACGTTCGTGGTCCCAGGCGTCGCAGCTGTAGGAAATGCGTGGACGGGAATGTAGTCCTAGCGAAGCGGTAGTTGGGGGAAATGAGCTTAGAAGAGGACGAAAGGATAGAGAAAGGGAAAAAGGATGGATTGAGTGGGAAAAAAAGGGAGGTTCTCAGAATGCAGTGGAATGTGGTTTGTTCTTTGCTGACTGGGGACCCACCCTTGTGTTTGCGTCGGTGTGTGCGTGAGTAGAGTGTAGTTAGTAGATAGACCAGGATGGCGTAGTATATAATCACAATAGTCACTTAATATGGACACAACACTGGATCCACTGGCGTTTAGTGTTAGACCAGCAGCCTCTTCGTTATTCCCTGGTTGTGGAAATGCTTATTCTACACAGTACTGCAAAGGGGAGTTGTATTAGAACCAGTAGCGCAGTTACACAACCAAGGCAAAAACAATTACCCTCAGAAACATACAACAGACGCGTAGAAGAATTACTTCATACCCAACCTTTCAGAGAGGTTTAGGATGGTATTTAGAAGCTTTCCCACATGATAGTTTTTTTTTTTCACTTCACTCGTAGCATCGTGAGAGGGCATGGGTATCCTGGGATCGAGCGAATGGACTTTGTATCCTAACGGGAAGAACTAGGACTTAATTTATATCTAACAGTTATATCTTCGCTCATGAGAGGTTCATTTCTGTGGTTCATGCAAGTCAGGATTTCAAAGTCCGTTCGTGCGATTCGTACACGTCATTCCTCCTTCTCGCTTGGTTCCAAAAAAGGGGAAACAAAATATCTAGACAAAGGAACACTAACTCCTCCAGCACAAGAGGCGGTGCATCGGCCTCAGACTCCCAGCGCTCGAGAGACAGGTTCCGAACCACGACCCAGGAACCAGAGCCGCAAGAGCCGCCCGTGAGGACGCGCCAACGGACCCCCGCCACGAGAACCCAAGACAGCACCCCCGCCACGCGCACCAGAACCCGGGGGCGCTTCCGAACCCAGGACGCCACCACCACCACCCGCGAGCCCTTCCGAACCGCCGAGGGAGGTTCTCGCGACGACGCCGGCCAAAGGGTTCGCGGTGGAACCCGGTTCAGGGACGCTAGACCGCAGACTGACACTGATAGATCCACTAGAATTCGCGTCAGGTACACGGAAACCGCAGTCAGCAGCTTGTGATTTATTTTTTATAGGGGAAGCTTTCGACTGGCTTGGCTGGGCTTGGGTTGACCTGGCTTGCTTTGGCTTTGACCTGGCTTGACCTGCTTGACAGATGGTGATGGACTTTTTTTTTTTATTATTTTTATTTTTGCATTTCGCTTGCGAATGTGAAGTTTTTTTTTTTTTTTTTGCGAGTTCCGTTTCGAGACACGAAGCGGAAGGCCTCAAATGCTGTTTTTTGTTTTGTTTGTTTTTTTACTTACATAAACGACTTTTATAAATTTATTGGATGTTGAGATCATTGATTTCTTTTGCAGGTTCGTCAGTCGACGGGAGTATACCATAATAACTATATAATAAGCGAAATAAATTATATTAAAACCATTATATTCTTGTCATTTTTTCTAAGGTAAAGCTCTCCCAAAAGCATACCCAGAATTGGTATAACAAAATAAGCATAAATACCATTTTCGATTTAAAATTGCATGAACAAAATTTTTCTTCTTAAGCATGTATTTTCCCCCTTCCCTCTTTATCGTATTTTACTATGCAGAATTTTCCTGAATCGCATGATCCCCCCCCACCCCCACCCCCCCCTCTTTCTCTCGTGACTAATGGCTGTGCATGAATGTTGATTAAAGCATGACTTTGAAATTTATCTTTTATAGAATTTCAGTTAGAATCTTCAACCTGTCATCTCTGGAACTCGGTGACCAATTTGGTGCAATTTCATGTCTTAAAATCTTTGTAGTTCGTGATGGGATACCGTCACTTTCAAATTTTCTTTTTTTTTCTCACCGTCACTTTCAAATTCTATTTTTTCCTCATCGTCACTTTCAAAGCCTGACGTCTCTGAAACTTGGTGACAGATTTGGTACAATTTCTAAATCTAAATCTAAAATCTTGATGTTATGCCCGTCACTTTCAAATCCTTTCTCTTTTCCTCTCCCTTATGTGAACAATCTCGTTTCCTCCAATAGACCTAGCATTTATTCTCTATCCATCTTATTATTATTTTTTTACTATCTCTAATGCACGAACGAACATTATCCTTCTCATCGGCTTGTGTTTATTTCCTCATATACTACGTTCGTATCCCCTCGACCCCCACGTCTTCCCGCCATCCTCCATTTTGAAAATTCGTAATGACGTCACTTCCTCTCCCTCAGCAGCGACAGGCCCCGCACCCCCAGCCTCTCCTCGCGCCTCAACCGCCCACGGACAAGGACCACGCCCGCCCCTACCACCACCACCACCACGCCCAGGTAAGGGACATGAAGGAGTTGGGGACTTGAATTGAGCTGTTGATGGGGGAGAGGAGGAGGAGAGGGGGGAGGAGGGAGGAGGGAAGGAAGGAGGGAGGGAAGGGAAGGAGGGAGGAGGGAGGAAGAGGAGGGAGGAAGGAGGAGGGAGGGGAGGAGGGAGGTGGAGGAGGAGGAGGGAGGGAGGGAGAGGAAGGAAGGAGGGAGAGGAAGGAGGAGGGGAGGGAGGAAGGAGGGAGGAGGAAGAGGAAGGGAGGGAAGGAAGGAGGAGGGAAGGAGGAGGGAAGGAAGGAAGGAGGGAGGGAGAAGGAAGGAGGGAAGGAAGGAGGAGGAAGAAGGAGGGAGGGAGGAAGGAGAGGAAGGAAGAGGGAGGGGAAGGAGGAAGGAGGGAAGGAAGGGAAGGAAGGAGGAGGAGGAGGGAGGAAGGAAGAAGAGGGAGGAGGAGGAGGAGGAGGGGAAGGAAGGAGGAGGGAAGAGGAGGAAGGAAGGAGGAGGGAAGAGGAGGAAGGAGGAGGGAGGGAAGGAGGGAGGGAGGAAGGAGGAGGAAGGAAGGAAGGAAGGAGGAGGAAGGAAGGAGGAAGGAGGAAGGAGGGAGGGAAGGGAAGGAAGGAGGGGAGGAGGAGGGAAGAAGGAAGGAGGGAGGAGGAAGGAGGAGGAGGAAGAGGGAGGGGAGGAGGGAAGGAGGGGAGAAAGAGGGAGGGAGGGAGGGAGGAAGGAGGAGGAAGGAAGAGGGAGGAGGGAAGGAAGAAGGAGGGAGGGGAGGGAGGAGGGAGGGAAGAAGGAGGGAAGGAAGGGAGAGGGAAGGAAGGAGGGAGGAGGGAGGGAGGGGGGGAGGAGGAGGAGAAGGAGGAGGCAGGAGGGGGGAGGAGAAGGGAGGGAGGGAGGAGGGAGGAAGGAGGAGAGGAGGGAAGGAAGAAGAGGCGGGGGAAGGAAGGGAAGAAGGAGAGAGGAAGAGGAGGGAGGGAGGGAGGAAAGTAAGAAGGAGGGGGGGAGGGAGGAGAGGAGGGAGGAAGGAGGGAGAGAGAGGGGGAGGGAGGGAGGAAGGGAGGAAGGAAAGGAAGAGGGAGGGAGAGGGGGAGGGAAGGAGGAGGAGAGAGGGAAGGAAGGAGGGAGAGAGGGAGGGAAGGAGGAGGAGGAGGGAGGGAAGAGGAGGGGGGAGGGTGGAAGGAAGGGAGGAGAGAGGAGGGAGGAAGGAAGAAGGAGAAGGAAGGGAGGAGGGGAGGGAGGAGAGGAGAAGGAGGAAAGGAATGGAGGACAGGAAGGGAAGAAGGGAGAGAGGGAGGAAGGAGGAGGAGGGAGAAGGAAGGAAGGAAGGAAGGAAGGAGGAGAGGAAGGAAGAGGAGGGAGGGAGGAGAAGGAGGAGGAAGGAAGGAAGAAGAGGAGGGAGGAAGGAGGAAGAGGGAGGAGGAGGAGAAGGAGGAGGGGAAGGAAGGAAGGAAGGGGAGGAAGGAGGGAGGGAAGGGAAGGAGGAGGAGGGAAGGATGGAAGAAGGAGGGAGGAAGGGAAGGAAGGGAGGGAGGATGGGAAGGAGGAGGAAGAATGGAAGGAAGGAGGGAGGGGTGGAGGGAGAAGAAGGAAGGAAGGGGGAGGCGAGTCTGTGTGTACGGATGTGGACGTGTGTACGGAAGGGTATGACTGGATGAATGTATACAGTATACGTGTTTGTATGTTTGTATGTGTGTGTATGTATGCGTGTATATTTGTATATATGTGTAAATGTATGCTCTGTATATATGCATTTACATATGTTTGCATGTTTGTATGTATATGTTTTTTGTAAGTATGTATATATTTATGAATTAATGTATATATGTACGTGTATGTATGTATGTATGTGTACATGTTCGCATGCCTGTACAGTATATATTCTTACGTAAACAAACAATCAGACGAAATAAAGATACGAAATTCACATTTAAATCAATCACAGATGAACCACACCACTTGGATTATCACACAATTAATCACACTTGGATTAATCACACAAATTAATTGGATTAATCACACCTGGAATAATCACACTTGGATTAATCACACAAATTAATCACACAAATTAATCACACTTGGATTAATCACACCTGGATTAATCACACAAATTAATCACACCTGGATTAATCACACACCATTTTCCTCCCAGGCCCACCAGAGCGACCACGCCCGCCCGCGTGCCAGGACGTCGCCGCCGCCCAGGAGGCCGCCCACAGAACAGGCGTCAACAGCAAGCCACCACCATCGACCCCCTCAACACGCCCGCCCCGCCCACGACACCAAGTCCATCCACTGGTAAGGATTATGACTGCTTTTTTTAATTATATTTTATTATTATTATTTTTTTTTGTGTTGTTATCATTGATTATTATTTATTTTGTGTTGTTATCATTGATTATTATTATCGTATTTTTTTATTGTTTTTGTTGTTGTTGCTGTTCTTGTTGCTTATTATTGATTATTATTATTATTATTATATTTTTTGTTGTTATTGTTGCTGTTTTTGTTGCTGTTCTTCTTATGACCGTTATCACTATCATTATTTTGATTATTGTTATTATCATTATTTCAAATAGATTCGATTCCAAATAGACAAAATGACATTGTTTTGATACATATTCATCTAATTAAATTTCTTTAAAGAATCTTACATCTCGCGTATCTTCACTTTGTATCTTAAATATATTTCCACGTGTCAAAAAAAAAAAAAAAAAAAAAATAATGATAGAGAAATAAATAAATAAAAATAAATAAATAAAAAATAGATAAAAAAATAAATTCACGTTAATCTAGCCAGTTTTCACACGCAAGAAAACAGATAAAAATAATGAATGACTGATTATAGATATACAAACAAATTGATAAATATAAAGGTAAATGAATAAATATATGCAAACGGACTAAGAATAATCTGTAGAATAAATCAAGGAAAATAAGACAGATACCGCTAATTTAATTATTTTTTCTCTCTCTCTTTCTAGAAAATAAATGTACAGAGAATCAGAATAGGAATAAAATGATGACTAAAAAAACGAAAATAAGAGACACTAATCGTTATTCTCTCTCTCTCTCTCTTTCTAGAAAATAAACGTACAGAGAAACAGCATAGGAATAAGATGACCAAAAAAACGAAAATAAAAGAGATACTAGAAAATAAACGTACAAAGAAACAGAATAGGAATAAGATGATGACAAAAAAACGAAAATAAAAGAGATACTAATTCTTATTCTCCCTCTTTCTCTCTCTCTTTAGGCTTCTCCTGCAAGCGCGAAGGCTTCTACCCCAACCCTGACAACTGCCACAAATACTACTGGTGCCTGGATTCCGGTGCCTCGGGACTTGGCATTGTGGCACATAGCTTCACCTGCCCCTCGGGTATGGCACCCTGGAGACAGAATTGGATTTTTTTTTTTTTTTTTTTGGATATTTTGATGTCTTGATGTTTGGTTGTTAGGATATTCTTTTATTCCCCATCTCTCTCTCTCTCTCTCTCTCTGTTCCCTTATTTCTTTTTCTCTTTTTTCTTTTATTCTGTTTTCTCTCTCTCTCTCTCTCTCTCTCTCTCTCTCTCTCTCTCTCTCTCTCTCTCTCCTCTCTCTCTCTCTCTCTCTCTCTCTCTCTCCTTCCTCTTCCCCTCCCCTCCCCTCTCCCATCCTCCCTCCCACTCACCCTACTCCCTTCCCCTCCCTTCCCCTCCTCCATCACCAACCCCCTCTCATTCATCATAATTCATCATTATTCATCCTTATTCATCCTTATTTATCATATTTATTTACCCTTCCTGCTCCCCCCGTCAGACCTGGTGTTCAACAAGGTGATTGACGGCTGCGACCACCCCGACCGAGCCAAGTTTCGACCGAGAAGAAGAGCCGTGGGGGGGCAGGGGCGACGACCCCCCGCTCCTCCACCCCCATCCCCACCACCACCGAGATCCCCGCCGACTACTCCTACTACGACGACTACTACTACGACTACGACTACGAGGAGGACCTGACGGAGCCCGAGGCGGTGGAGCCCGTGTCGAACGCCGTGGCAAGGAAGTGAGTGGCGGAGGCACGTCGGGTGGGCGGGGTGGGTGGGTGGGTGGGGGCGGCTTTTTGATGGCGTCGTTTTAGTTTTTTATTTAGTTTTTTTTTTTTTTTTGCATAGGCGGTCGTGCAGAAATACGCACACACACTAGACGAACGCATGGACACATACACACACGCGCGCGCACGCACACACACACACACACACACACACACACACACACACACACACACACACACACACACACACACACACACAAACAAACACAAACACACACACACACACACACAACAAACAAACACAAACAAACAAACAAACAACACAACACACACACACACACACACACACACACACACACACACACACACACACACAACACACACACACACACACACACACACACACACACGCACACGCACACGCACACGCACACACACACGCACACACACACACACACACACACACACACACACACACACACACACACACACACACCACACACACACACACACACACACACACACACACACACACACACACAAACAAACACAAATTCACACACGCATTCACACGAAATCACTCTAACGCCAGATCCTTCGAATTTCAAAATAGCCACAATATATCCACAACCTCCCTTTCGCCCCATTAACGCCAACCTTTTCCGCCGGCGAAGGATCCACAACTCCGGCGGGAACCAGTTCGTGGCCTCAGACGCCCCCGCCGACGAGCCAGCCCCTTCGTCAGGCAGTCCCGGCAGCCGGTCCAGACCCCAGTACCAGAGCATCGCCAGAGAGAGGTATGCGATTCTTCTGTTTTGGGGGATAGCAAGGACGTAGTTTTGTGTTGATTTTAGATTTGAGTTATTTATTTATTTATTTTTACTTTTTTTTTTTTTAGATTTTAGTTGTTCTTTTCAGCTGTTATTTTTTTCTTTTCTTTTTTTTTTTCTTTTCTTTTCTTTTTGCATCGTGAGGAAACCATCATTTCGTGATATTACCCTTTTCTTATGTTGGATATACTCTGCCATTGATAAAAAAAAAAAATTGTAATATTCCTCAATCCTTCCTCTTCCCCGACAGACCGCAGGCGCCCCCCGCAGCGGCGGCAGAGGAGGAGAGCCCGTCCGCCGCCCCCGAGACACGAGGCGACCCCCTGCGCCAGTACACGACCATCCAGCGGCAGCGCCCGCCCGCCCAGGCCGCCGCCAGGGCCCAGGAGGAGGCGGAGGCCCGCGAGGCCGCAGGAAGCGCCGGCGGCAGCGCGGGAGGACGTCGCAACTACGTGACCCTCGAGCGGCGCCGTCGCCCGGGAGCCGCGTCCGAGGCCACGGAGGCGCCCTTCGAGTCCTTCGAGCCGACGCAGCCCGCCCTTGAGTACGTGACCATTCGGCGTGACCGTGACAGGACCCCTATTCCCCCCTCCCCCTCTGACACCACCCTCTCGCCCTCCTCCCCCCTGGAGGAACCCCAGCAGACGAGGGTCGCCCAGGGCCCCACCACCCCCAGGTACCGTCCCCTCGTGTTTCAGGCCGTCGGGAGCTTCCGTGGACGCGCTTTCCCCTCCGGCCGAGGCGTCGCTTGGGCTGGGGCGGACGGAGGGACGCGGCTCGCTTTTGTCCCTCTCTCGTCGGGCGCCGCTTCCGCTTCGGGGCTTGGGCCGCTTACTCGCTCTTCCAGGCCGTTCTTGTTTATTATTATTTTTTTCTTTTCTTTTTGTGTGCCGTTTTTGCTTCTGTGGCGTCGATTTTCTCGTTTTTTTTTCAGGTCCCTCTTTTTCTATTTTTGATTCCTATATTTTTTCTCTACGTGGTGTAACACTTTCTCGCTCTCAAAATAACCCTTCGTCGGTGTGCTGTTGTCGCTGATGATAAAGCTTAACTTTTTTGCTTCAGTTATTGTGCCGTTAATGATAATAACAATGAAATTTATGTGAAATATTAGTCATGTTTAATATTTCTACTAATTTACCTTTAATACTACTATTACTACTCCTGTTACCATACTACTGCTTATTACTACTACTGTTACTATTACTACTGCTGCTACTGCCGTTATAATTATTATTTATACGATTGCTTATCTTATTCTTATTCATTATTATTTTACCATTAGTAGCAGCAGTAGTAGAAGGACAGCGTGTATGTATATAGATTTACTAAACAACAAAGGAGTATAAAAAATACCTGCTGACCTCTGACCCATTTCCACAGGTACGTGACCCTGCAAAGAGGTCGCGGCACGACTCCGGAACCCGCCACGACCGTCGAGGAAGAGATCCCCACGACCTTTGAGGAGACGACCGTCGCTTCGACCTTCCCCGTAAGTGCGCCCCCCGTCAAGTACCGCCCACTTGTGGTACGACCCTCCTCCACCCCCTCCGGCATTGCCACGCCCACCCCTATCTTGGACATTGAGGAAAACCTTTTGCATGAAGTTGCCCCTCCCGGCCCTGCTGACCAGAGGCCCTCCCTCCCCCTTCCCGCTGATCAGCAGGCAGCAGGCGTTCAGCCCCCCCTCCTCCCGGCAGATCATAGCCCTCCTCCACCTCCTCCCCCCTCACCCCAGGCGACCTCCGAGTCACCTGAGATCTTAGCCCAACGTCCCGCGGAAGACCAACGTGACCTGTTTGACCCAAGCGAACTAACGGGATCGGCGGACCCCGTTCGAGGAAGGGTCAGCTCGAGGACACGCATCGCAGGGGTGGACCACGAGAACAACCTTGTAGTGAAGGTCGTGCGAGGTCGTAAAAGGGTCAGGGTGTCGGCGGCGTCGTCCCGCACGACGGTTAGTCCTGTGTCAGAGTCGGTGGTCGTGACCCCTGCTGACCTGGCTCCCGAGGTCGTTTCTGTTCAAGACTACGAAAATGCTATCGCCCCGGAGGATAGTGACGCCCAACACAGACGTATGCCAGTGTCAGTGCCAGGCTTTGGGGCAGCGTCGGGTTCACATGCGACTCGTGGTTCTGTTACTGAATCTTTAACCACAGGCTCTCGTGACGTTGGTGGCATCGATGTTTCTCTCGACATCAGTGGCAGTGTGCCCTTCGGTGTTAGAGGCGCTAATGATGCCTTTGTTGCACCCACTGGCGTTAGAGGCACTATTGTCGCTGGCACTGCTGGTGTCACCGGCACCACGACCTCCCAAAGTAAAGGTATTTCCGTCGCCACTGACAACTTGAGCTCGCAGAGTGCCACTGATGCCCATGCTTTTGAGGCTAATGACATTGCTGCGTCCCGTGGCACTGTCATTTCCCACGCCTCGACTTCCTCCCGAGGCACTGCTGCTTCTCATTCTATCGACGCTTCCCTTGGCATTCTGGGAGGAAGCGACCCTGTGTATGGAACAGTCACAGCCTCCCGCGGCGCTGCTGCTTCACGTGGCACTGTTACGTCACAAGATGTTGCTGCCTTTACTGGCACAATTGATGCAGATAACGCCATAGTCTCTCAACTGCAGTGGCACTTTGCTTCTCATAGTTGCCAGCTCACGTGAGTTCTCACGTGCTTGCCAGCTCACGTGGCACTCTTGCTTCTCATGAATTGCCAGCTCACGTGCACTGTTGCTTCTCAGTGTCACGTGCACAGCTCAGTTGCCAGCTCACGTGGCACTTTGCTTCTCATGACTTCTCACTGTTGCTTCTCATGCGTTGCCAGCTCACGTGGCACTGTGCTTCTCATGAGTTGCCAGCTCACGTGGCACTTGCTGCTTCTCAGAGAGTTGCCAGCTCACGTGGCACTGTTGCTTCTCTGTGGCACTGTTGTTCTCGCACTGCACTGTTGCTTCTCAAGAAGTTGCCAGCTCACGTGGCACTGTTGCTTCTCATGAAGTTGCCAGCTCACGTGGCACTGTTGCTTCTGTTGTCAGCTCACGTGGCACTGTTGCTTCTCAAGAAGTTGCCAGCTCACGTGGCACTGTTGCTTCTCATGACGTTGCCAGCTCACGTGGCACTGTTGCTTCTCATGACGTTGCCAGCTCACGTGGCACTGTTGCTGCAACGTGTTGCTTGCCAGCTCACGTGGCACTGTTGTTTGCCAGCTCACGTGCACTGTTGCTTCTGTTGCCAGCTCACGTGGCACTGTTGCTTCTCAAGAGGTTGCCAGCTCACGTGGCACTGTTGCTTCTCATGATGTTGCCAGCTCACGTGCACTGTTGCTTCTCATGAAGTTGCCAGCTCACGTGGCACTGTTGCTTCTCAAGAGGTTGCCAGCTCACGTGGCACTGTTGCTTCTCATGACGTTGACATTTCACGTGGCACTGTAGCTTCTCATGACGTTGCCAGCTCACGTGGCACTGTTGCTTCTCAAGGTTGCCAGCTCACGTGGCACTGTTGCTTCTCATGACGTTGCCAGCTCACGTGGCACTGTTGCTTCTCAAGAAGTTGCCAGCTCACGTGGCACTGTTGCTTCTCGTTCCAGCTCACGTGCACTGTTGCTTCTCATGAAGTTGCCAGCTCACGTGGCACTGTTGCTCTCAATGTTGCCAGCTCACGTGGCACTGTTGCTTCTCAAGCTCACGTGTTGCCAGCTCACGTGGCACTGTTGCTTCTCATGACGTTGCCATCACGTGGCACTGTTGCTTCTCATGACCAGCTCACGTGGCACTGTTGCTTCTCATGTTGCAGCTCACGTGGCACTGTTGCTTCTCATGACGCACGTGGCACTGTTGCTTCTCATGTTCCAGCTCACGTGCACTGTGTGACGTTGCCAGCTCACGTGCACTGTTGCTTCTCATGTTGCCAGCTCACGTGCATGACAGCTCACGTGCATTCTCACGTTTCACGTGCACTTTGCTTCTCAAGAGTTGCAGCTCACGTGGCACTGTTGCTTCTCATGTTGCACGTGGCACTTCGTGCCAGCTCACGTGGCACTGTTGCTTCTCATGACGTTGCCAGCTCACGTGCACTGTGCTTCTCATGTTGCCAGCTCACGTGGCACTGTTGCTTCTCATGACGTTGCCAGCTCACGTGGCACGCACTCACGTGCACTGTTGCTTCTCATTGCACGTGCACAGCTTCTCACGATGTTGCCACTCACGTGCACTGTTGCTTCTCGTTGCCAGCTCACGTGGCACTGTTGCTTCTCATGACGTTGCCAGCTCACGTGGCACTGTTGCTTCTCATGATGTTGCCAGCTCACGTGGCACTGTTGCTTCTCATGACGTTGCCAGCTCACGTGGCACTGTTGCTTCTCACGATGTTGCCAGCTCACGTGGCACTGTAGCCTCTCACGATGTTGCCAGCTCACGTGGCACTGTTGCTTCAACAACGTTGCCAGCTCAACTGCTTCTGTTGCCAGCTCACGTGGCACTGTTGCTTCTCAAGAGGTTGCCAGCTCACGTGGCACTGTTGCGTCTCATGACGTTGGCAGCTCACGTGGCACTGTTGTCATGACGCCAGCTCACGTGGCACTGTTGCTTCTCAAGAAGTTGCCAGCTCACGTGGCACTGTTGCTTCTAATGACGTTGACATTTCACGTGGCACTGTTGCCTCTCACGATGTTGCCATCTCACGTGGCACTGTAGCTTCTCATGACGTTGCCAGCTCCCGTGGCACTGTTGCTTCTCATGATGTTGCCAGCTCACGTGGCACTGTTGTTTCTCATGACGTTGCCAGCTCACGTGGCACTGTTGCTTCTCATGACGTTGCCAGCTCACGTGGCACTGTTGCTTCTCATGATGTTGCCAGCTCACGTGGCACTGTTGTTTCTCATGACGTTGCCAGCTCACGTGGCACTTTAGCTTCTCACGATGTTGCCAGCTCACGTGGCACTGTTGGTTCGCATGGCGTTTCCATTTCTAGCGGCACTCGTGGCTCTATTGAAGCATCCCGCGGTACCTTTGATGTCAGCACGACCGTCGTTGATGACACAGGCGCCGTTCGTGGTGACACACGCAACACTCTTACATCACGTGGCAGTATCGCTACGGGTGTCACAACCACAGGCGATTCTCCCATCACTACATCAGACACACAGACACACGTTCAATTAGAACACGAAAGCAGTCAGGCAGCTTCTTTCGCTGCTGTGCAGGGGTCACGAATCGGCCTCGTTGGCACTCAGGACGACCTCGTGTCGACGTCTGGTTTCATAGAACACAGTGACCCCCAACAGAGTCTTGACTTCGTGTCTAGCGGCGATGACCCTGTTCTCGAGCTGACCTCGCGTACGGGATCCGACCTGGCACCCGCCCAGTCCCCCATTTCGACCTTAGAGACCGCTAAGAAGGTGTCTGTTTCGGTGACGGGCGAGGCTAGCGAGTCCAGTGTTCCCCAGTCTCTCGAGGGGAAGGAGACCTCCTCCCTCTCTCCTTCCTCCCCCTCATCTTCATCTTCACTTTCTTCTTCCCTTTCCTCATCCCTCTCCCCTTCTTCCTCGTCCTTTGGTTCTACTGATCCCTCTCTCCAGCTAACCGTGCATGGTACAGGACACACTCTCCAACATGAGGGAAAATTACAACTAGTGCATGAAGGTTCCATTCCCGACGCCGTTAACGAGAAGAGCCCCCTAGTGCATGGTTCACAGCATGGAGTGAAATCCGAAGGGCGCATGGCTGTAGAGACGGCGATGGAGAAGGCGAAAGTGCATGCTAACACGAACCCCCAGCGAGGCCCAGCAGAGGAAGGCCGCCCCCGCCTGCATGATGCTCTCTCTCCCCAGACCGGCGATGACTTCGGAGTAGCTAGTGGTGGCGCAGCGTTTGAGGATTACTATTACGTCGACGACCTTTCCTACGATGATGAAGCAGCCACCTCTTCTCCTGCAAAGCCACAAACCATATCCGATACCACTACTACTCCCACAACCACAATTACCACACCTATCCCAACAACAACCACAACTACCTCCACCACAACACCGCCGCCAACTACCCCAACACCTAGGACACCCAGGCCCCGAACACGAACACGCGTCAGAGGCCGCCCAGTAACAGGCTCCAGCAGCCGCCGCCAGGAGTCGTCTGCAGGCTCTGGGGGGCGCAGGACCTCCACTCTCCGCCGCCGCCTGCCGTCCTCCACATCCACCACGGCCGAGGAAGCATCTGTCACAAGAGCGCCCTCGGCTAAAGAGGAGGTTGTGGAGGATGTAGAGGTGGCGCGAGAGGAGAAGGAGGTTCAGGCGACTGCCACAGGTGCCAGACGACCCGGCGGACTGAGGCCCAACAGACCCAACCCACAGACACGGAGAAGGATTGTCGTAAGGAAGAGAGTCGGAGACGACGCCAGATCAGATCAAGTAATTATTCCCTTCCATCTTCTGGTGGTGGTTTTGTAGTAATGTAAGGTATAATTCACAGCTTAGACCACGACTGTACATATTGTAGTTATACACCCACACAAACCTTGGCAGCCTTCCACCCTCTGTCACTTTGCTCCTGCCCCCCCATCCATTCCTCACGTTGTTGTTATTAGAAAAAGAAATTGCATTATGTATATACCAGTAGATAATGCGTAGACCTGCACCCCCAAACCCCGTACTGACTAGCCACTAAGGACTAAATCACATGTATTACAGTTCTGTAACAAGTATGTATCACTTATGTAGTAGTAATCTGTAGCACCTCACGATCTGCACTCTTATCGGCCTTCTTGGAAGCGCGATAAGCTGCCTCGAGACTGTGCTTGTTTCCTCACGTGTATGATGGCATGAGAGATAACGTTAATAATCCTTTGACTTGACGCCTGACGATCCCTCCCTCTATTTTTTTCTTACAAGAAAGACCATGACCCGGTTTGACCTTTTGTTACCAATAAAAATGACATGTCAGACTTCGACGGACTTCGTCTTTGTTTCAGGACTTGATGTGTGTGGGGTACAGTCAGACCTCCTCGGGACAGACTTTTCCCACGAGTCTGATCAGCCTGTGTTCACTGATCCTTCTCCAGTTTGTTCTGGTATAAATGACAAATCTCTTCCAGATCCCAACCCCCAAAAATGACGCGTTGGTAAGAGAATGTTCTACGTTGTTCCGACTTGTTCACGTGTGCATTTCTTTTTTATGCATTTTCCAACCCCCTCCCCCTCACCATGTTCAATAGCCAGCAATCATTTCTTTGGGACTCCTTGACTTCGGCCTCTTGGGACAGCTCTGACCTGCAGGTGACTAGCATAGAGGACTCCCCCGGACTACTTGGGACTTTCTCTCGGCCTGAAGGAACCCTCTTGACTTCAGCGACCTTCAGGATATTCCTTTTCGTGTCTGTGGCTGACTAGACTACCTGGAATGAGTGTTTCTTACTGTGTCCATGATACACCTTTGCGTTTTCTAGTTTCCA